TTCCTAGCTTGGACTCTGACTAGTTGCTTGGTCATGAGCGAGTTGGGTGACCTTAACCACGTCAAGCTCCTCTCTGGCCTTGACCGCTCTCTGCAATGATAAATTTGACCTGACTGACTCCTAAGGTCCCCTGGAGCCCTGCTCTTCTGTGACCCTAGATGGCGAAGATCCTCTTTGTCTTCAGAGAGTTTGGCTGAAGCTCCCTCCTCTCTGCCCAGGGAGGGGCTTGGCCTGGACACGCCACAGTCCAGACCATGAGGTTTCGCAGCGCATGGCATGGGGACCATCTGAGTCCATCTGCCCTCATGGTCTCACAGAGGCCGACTGGAGGCCTGGACCTGGGTCCTCCTTCCTTCTAGTGATAACACCTTTTGCCACTCATACCTGCAATGCCGAGTGACAGCAGGATGACCAGGTGTGCATGGGTGGGTGACGGGTAGACAGCTGCCCCTCTTGAGCCTGGCACCTGGGACCAGAGGACTCCTGTGACCTGTACCGCTTCTCTCCCCAGAGCCTGTGCCCAACAACCAGACGGTGATCATCGCGATCGTGATAGTGCTGCTGCTCTTGTTTGTGACATTCATCCTCCTGTGCTTTGTCTTCAGCCAGAAGTGGTTCCGGGGGCGGACAGGTCATTACGGTGTGTATGCCACTTGGAGGAGGCTGATAGGGAGCCACCGGGCACCGCCTCTATGAGCGGCGTGGCCACTGGCACGGCGGCCACTGGAACTCACTGTGGCTCCTTAGGGTGTGGTCCAGGCCTGGCTGGGGGACCAAGGCAAACAGCCTGAATACAAACACCTGGACTTAACCCTGTGCCTTCATGTCTCCTGCTGGGAATGGCCAGGAAGGGGAGCCACCAGGCCTGGCTGAACTTCTGTCTCCAAACGTCTCCTCTGCCCCCTCTGCCCTCTCCTTCGGAGGCCTTCTGGAGCCCCAGCAAACCCAGGCCCTGGCGTGCCCCCAGGCCGACTGGCCCGGGCACCAGGCACCCAGCCTCATGGGACCCTGAGAGGCCGCTTCCTCCTGACGGAGGGCGGGGAGACCCGCCTGGCCCAGAGGGGCAGAGAGACACTCTGTTCCCACGTGGCCCTCCAGGACGTGGCTCTGGCTTCTCTCTTCTGCCAACAGAGCCAGCACCAGGGGTGAGTATGGGGGCCCAGTGGCTGGGCTCCGGGAACCTCCCTGCCAGGCCTCCCCCATCACTCTGGGCCTTCGGAGAGCCATGGAAACAAAAGCAGTCCTCGCCTGTTACCTCCAGTTCTGTTATTGGGCTAAATGGAGACGCCGCAGTCCTGGTCATCCAGAGAGAGGGGAAGGGGAGGAGGTCGAGGGAGGGCTCCGTCTCCCAGGCCTCTGCCAACCGGGGCAGCAATCAACTGGACATGGTTGGCCTTTCATGTGGCTTCTGGGGCCTGGACGGAGCTCTAAGGGACTCTCACCCGGATCAGAGATCAGGTTGGTTCAAGGTCTCCATGTGGTGGAGACAGGACTCATCTACCCCAAGGAGATGGAACTCATCCACCCCGGGGAGATGGCCTGGTTGGGCATGGGAAGGTAAGAAGGGTTGCCAGGTGGAGAAAGGGGTTGTTAGGCACGAGAGGGACATGGAGGCTCCAGGGTGGCTGTTTCCAACTCTTCAATGAGGCTGGCCTGGGCCCCAGGGCTGCTGTTTGTCCTCATTATAGGCTCTCCGCATCATAGTAGTCTGGGGGGAGAAGCATCCTCACCACGACTGCCCCCTGCCTCAGTGGACCCCAAGGAAGAGTTAAGGGGAGAGACCCACTGTCTGTAGTGATGACAATAGGACATGCCCCCCACCTCAGGGCATGTGGCCCTCCCAGCCTTCGGATCCACCCCTTGGCTTGGGCCCTGCTGACCACCCACCTGGTCCCTACCTGAAGCTGGAGGTACATCTGCACCCACAGTTCCCGTGGCACTGGGGGGTGGGGGTGGGGGCACCGCTCTCCTGAGATGGGAAAGGGAAAAGAAACCCCCCATCAGAGTTCTCAGAGTGGCCTCTGCAATTTGACCCCCAAGTCTTCCCACCCCACCCACAGACCCTGTCCAGCTCTTCCAGCCCCAGAACAAAGCCTTGGCAGCACCCAGACCTCCAGCCTCACTTACACCCTCCTTTTTCCAGGTGCAGGAGGGTGGTGCTGAATCACAGCTGAATCCTGCACGTGGGGCTGGTGTAGGGGAGGGGAAAGAAGAGGGCCTGGCCAGGGAAGCAGGGGGCCCAGGGCAGGCATCGGGCAGGGCAGATAGTGGTGGTGGAAAACCAGAGGTGCCTCCTCCTGAGCTGCAGTCTCCTCCGCCTGTTGAACCCCCAGGGAGACCTGGGGATTGTGCAAGATGGGAGGGGAGAGGATACAGCGTCAGATTCTCCCTGCCCCTGGTCCTCCATTCCTCTGAATTATTTCTTCAGATATACAGCTCAAAACGGCTCCTGTCTTTTGGGGATTTAGAACAAGCAAACAAAGCACTTTGGAGATATTTATTCCTTATTCTGCAGGTGGGAAAACTGAGGCTCACAGGTTAAGCAGCTTTTTTAAGGCTACCCAGCTCCTAAGTGGCCAAGCAGGGACTGGAGGGATCCAAATATGACTCCAGAGCTGGGCCCAGGAGTCCTGCTGGCCTCACCCTGTTACCGATTCAGGGTCATTGGACCCTTTAATGGAGAAGGGATAGAATACCCACTCCAGTATTCTTGGGTTTCCCTTGTGGCTCAGCTGGTAAAGAATCCGCCTGCAATGTGGGAGACTTGGGTTTGATCCCTGGGTTGGGAAGATCCCCTGGAGAAGGGAATGGCTACCCACTCCAGTATTCTGGCCTGGAGAATTCCATGGAGTATTCAGTCCATGGGGTCACAAAGAGTCCGATACGGCTCTTTAATCAATAGATTTTAATAAGAAACCAACCAAGGAATTCAGGCTGAGAATTCACTGGGACTCAAGCTGCACCAGGGAGTGAGAATGCGAGTTGCTGGGTGCCCAAGCTCCCTCCCCAAGAAGAGTGGGTTGGTTCCTTAAATGGGGAGAGAGTGAGGGCTGATGGACGGGTTGGGCTGGAGGGGTGGCTTAGGTGGCCAGCCCACTCTCTTGGCGGGTGCAGGGATCATGCGTAGTACCCTTCTTTTGCTCCCTGAAGCTCAGAAACGGCAGTTGATTTGTGACCTTTTTGTAGCTTATTGTTCATAAGTGCCCCAGCTGCGCATGCGTGCAGTTATTTTTAGTTCCTTTGTTTTCCACTGATGGTTAGTCCAGGTGCAAGCACTTCTGTAAAGAGTTCCGGGTCCCAGCCCATCTCAAGCCCCAGTCCCTGATCCACTTACGCCCCTGTTGAGGTGGGGTGCTCATCCCCAGGGCCATCCCCACCTCCAGGGCCGGCAGGGGAGGGATGAAGGGGTGGGACGGCAGCAGCCCCTCAGGTTCTCCCTCTGCCTCCGACCAGCCCCTCCTGAACCCCCTCTCTGCTCCCTCCAAGCTGACTGGCATTCTCTCTCCACTCGTTGTCACTCCTCCAGACCTCTCAGGGTGCCTATCATCTGCTAAATAAGGTCCTCCTTGGAGCTCCTCCCATGTACCCCCACCCAACACACACACACACACACACACACGTGCGCGCACACGCACACAAGGTTTTCTCCATTCTGTCTCTGACTTTGTCGCTGTTCACCTAGATGGTGGACTGTACACCTCTCACCTCCTTCAAGCATCAGAATCCTACCTGGCTTTTTTTTTTTTTTCTTATCTTTTCTTTTTGGCCACACAAAAAGTCTTCTGGGATCTTAGTTCCCTGACCAGGGATTGAACCCTGGGCTCTCCAGCAGTGGAAGCTCATAGTCCTAACATTGGACCACCAGGGAATTCCTCTACCTGACTTTTAAGGGCTGGTTCTAAGGCCATGTGCTCTTCCGAGGAGCCCCAACCAGGTGGCCCTCACAATTTGTACCAGTCACAGCCAAAGTTGCCTTGTATTCATAGTCATTCATTTACTCAGTCACTTGTTCAACAAAAGCAATTGAGTCACTAGTAATTTATCAGGTACCCTATAGTCCCAGGGTACAGTGGAGCCTCTCTGTCCCTGGGAGTCCAGCGGGGGATGCACTGCAGGGGATCTTTGAACACAAGACCTGAATGGTCTGGATTTTGGGACCCCCTACCTCTACTCCATGGAGGATGACATAGCCATCTGGCACATAATAGATGCCAAACAGAGAAGCCACATAGATGTGGGTTGACTTTTGGCTCCTCTGTTGCCTGGTTTTCTTTTTTTTTCTCAAGATAGAGGGAACCCCAAATGTTTGCCCACCTCTGTCGCTGCAGGTGGGCAGCTCTAGTAGTCCACCCCCACCCCCAGGCAACGCACCTGTGGGTGAGTCCAGGAAAGCCCCTGGTTGAGCGCCGCTGCCACCTGGCCACTCAGAAACAGCTGGTTCATCTGAACGTTCTGTAGCATCATCAGCTCCANCCTGCGCTCGGGTGTCTGGGCTTTCGCCCTAAGTCCCCGCCTCCTGCTCTGCTCTCTCCAACTCTAAGGAGGAGGGGTTCCCAGGGATCCTTACCCCACAGCTCCGGAGGCCCGACTCTCTCCCAGATGTCCACATCCAAACCCCTGCGCTGGGGCTCTCTGGACATCACGTCTCATCCTACGCTGTATCTCACACTCTTGGGCATCCCCAGCACCAGGCCTGGGGAGCGGGGTGGGAAGGGTGGGGGTGAGGGGTGGAGGAGGGGGTCGGGGAATGTTTGTTGAATGAATAAATGAGTGACTGGGGAGGCCCACCCCACCTCGGACACTTGGTTTTCTGACTGGAACCCAGTTGACTAGGATGACGAGTTAGGAGTAGAGAATTATACTGTAGTAGGCTTGGGGGCGAGGGGCAGGTGAGTAAGGAGGGCAGGGGGTTTGCTCCACATCTCTTGCTTGGAGGCTCAGCGGTAGAGGATCCATCTGCCGTGCAGGAGATGGAGGAGACGCGGGTTCCATCCCTGAGTTGGGAAGATGCCCTGGAGAAGGGCACGGCAGCCCTCTCCAGTATTCTTGCCTGGACAGTCCCATGGACAGAGGAGCCTGGCGGGCTGCCGTCCATGGGGGTTGCAAAGAGTCAGACATGACTGAGCACAGACACATACTCCGAATCAGAGGGCTGGCCTGCAGGCCAAGAGAGGCTTCTGGAGCAGATCATGGAAGGAAACACGGACCAAGTTCGCGGAAGAGGCTGGCCCCTGTTTGCTCCCTGGTCCCCGGTCAAGGTGAGCCACTTCTCCAAAGAAGTGGAGAGCAGGGAGTTTAACATCAGTGCCCCGGTTATTGTCCTTTATCTTTAAAAAACTACCAAAGCATGCATTCTTTCGACAGGAAGTTATCAAGGTCTTCTTTGCTTAAGAACAGGTGAAGGGAGAGATCTATTTCGGCAGCTGTGACCATCCTAAGATAGGCCCTGAGCAGCAGTCGAAGAAAATCCAGACAGGAAGCTGGGATTAGCACCCTGGAGTTGCCCGTCCCCCACCCTCCACTTCTCTTCTGTTCTCCTTCCCAGCAGTCCTGGCGTCTAGAACCAGAAAGGCCATCCGTACCTCCTCATCTGTAAGGCTTCGTCCCTGTCTCTGGGAGATGGGGTACTGTGGGCAGTGTGTTAGCTGATCCCAGGGGTCTTATGGCTTCAACAGCCATGACCAAGCTGAGATGGGGCACTGTGGTCCCAGGCCCCCCTCATTCCAGGTGGGAAGAGGGAACCAAGCCTTGTGCCCAGGAGGTGCCTGCGTGTGTTGCTTCTGAGCACTCTAGGCACAGTGGTGTATCCTTGCTGGTCCCAGCATTGTTGGGAAGTGAAAACGGAGGGCACAGTGTAACCTGTGCAAAGCCTCCTATGAATGAACCATACGAGAAAGGATCCTGAAAAAGAGAGGACTTAGTCGCTGAAGGATGGAGTTTTGAAGGAAGTGGAGACCCTTAGAATGGGGCCAGTGGATGGGACAGGGCAGCCCAGGCTGGGGACACAGCCAGAGCAAAGGCATGGATGCAGGAAGAGACAGGACCTGGAAAGATCCAGTGGCTCAAACTGCCTGGCGGGGCGAGGGGAGCTGGGCGGAGGGATGTTCCAGGCAGACCCAGGTCAGACTCCATGGCCAAGTTATAGAAGTGAGGCTTTGCCATATGGGTAATGGGAAATTCTTGGTGGGTTTTGCAGGAGCAAAATAAGCGGATGACGTGTCAACAGCTATGTTTTAGGAAGATTTATCTTGTTTGTCTTATCTTTGTTTATGTCAGCCAGAATTAGAAAGAATAGATGTCTGATGGGATGTGTCTTCCCAGTGGAATACTTGTTCCACCACTGACAATTTTGGTACAAAATATATCTGATGTGGAACAATGTCCAGCAGAGTCGAGCAAGGCAATCAGAAAGCAGAGTAAGATCTTATTTTTGTTTGAAAAATTATATATATGTATAAATGTGCATGTGTGTGGAGAGAGAGAAGGAAAGAGGGAGAGAGAGGGGGGCAATTATAGAGAAGCTGTCAGGGTGGCCTACTCCTGCCAGTCTCCCCACTTTTCCACCCCCTCACAGTGCCTCCTGGGATCACCCTCCAAATGAATTACTTGCTCCCAAGTCCTTGTTTCAGGCTCTGCTTTGGGGAGAATTCAAACTAAGACACCAGTTTCCCACTTTTTCCATGTCCTCTGTCCAGGTTGCTGCTAACTCTGGGGGAAATCTCTTCTAGTAGCTTTCTGATGAATTTGTGTCCCATGATGAGAAACACCAAAGGAGACACTGAAAAACATTCGTCTGGGAATATAAAGGTCCGTGGATTAAACTGAGGCAGAGCTGGAGGCAGGGAGGCCAGCAAGGAGGCCACCTTCCTTCCCTGTAAAGGAAGCCCAGGGTGGGCTGGAGGCGGCTGTGGAAGAGAAGCAGGAAGAGTGATCATTTTGATACCTCACATGTAAGATTGTATGTTAACCTTATGTGAGACTGCTTATATTTTGGAAGACAGGGCTGAGATTCAAACAATCTGGTTCTGGTATCCAATTAGAGTTCATTGTCAAAGGAAACTGAAGCCCTTGCCCTTTGAATAATGGGAAAACCACGCATTTATCTGGCAGCGCTATTATCAGTGCAACAATGGAGTTGACTTCCTAACTATTCACCCTGCCTACTATTATTTTGTCTGGGGTGTTAAACATTCCACATAGTCCCTTTCCTTTTCTTCTCAATGGGGACCCTTATTTACACCTTCAGTTTTGTGTTGTTTTTTTTTTTTTAAATGTCCCAAGACAACATGTACCAAAAGTCCTCCCCATTGCCTTGGTAAATCTATTCCTGGCAATAAGCTAGACATGGAAAAAAGATTCCTACTCAAATGTGTCCATTGCAGTGTTATTTTTAAGAGCTGAAAGTTGAATGTTACCCAATATCCAGTAATAGGGAAGTGGTTATGTAAATGGAGGCAATTCACTCCAAGGAAGTGTGTGCAGCCATTAAAAAGCATTGGATGGGAGCACGTGGCTCCCTCCTCTCTTCCTCAGATGGAAGGGGAGAGACAAGGGTCCCTTTAAGAATCCAAGTGGAGGGACTTTCCCTGGTGGTCCAGTTGTTAAGAATCCACTTGCCAATGCAGGGGACGTGGGCTCAATCCCTGTTCAGGGAACTAAGATCCAAGACGCCACTGAGCAACTGAGCCCGTGCACCCTAACTGCAGAGGCACACAGCCAAATAATTAATTAATAATAATAAAAAGGAATTTAACTGGAAATGTCCGTGATGAGGAGGTGCCACACGGAGAGAGATTGACCTAGTGGCAGGCTCTTTTGGGAGGGCCCAGTTCCTAAAGAGGCACAAGTTGGAAGGAATTAGAATATGACTGTTGAAGGAGAGGTGTTAAATACCGCTTTGCAGAATTACAAGACTAATGGATTTGTGGACAGAAGTCTTGACATTGTAACAGTAAAGAAATTCCATTTTTCCTCTTAGAGGCTCCAACTCTGCTATTTCTACAAATTGTGGTTATCCTTGTGAGATGTATGTATGTGTGTGTGTGCATGTGTATGTGGTGGGTGGGTGGGGGGTGTAAGTTATCCAAAAGGCCCCTGATGGTACTTTGGGGACTTATAAACATGTAGATCAGGCTTCCCGGGTGGTGCTAGCGGTAAAGAGCCCACCTGCCAATGCAGGAGACATAAGAGACACGGGTTTGATCCCTGGATCAGGAAGATCCCCTGGAGGAGGACCCAGCAACCCACGCCAGTATTCTTGCCTGGAGAATCCCATGGACAGAGGAGCCTGGAGAACTACAGTCCACGGGGTCGCAGAGTCAGACATGACTGAAGCGACTTAACATGCACACAGCACGCACACATAGATCACACCGGTGGGATTGGGATGCTGTGTGCTGGGGACACAGTTTACAGGTTTCACCCCACCAGAACAGAGCTATGATATGGAGTCCAGAATCCTACCCTTCTGGGCTCCCTGGAATTGGGGTGCCCCTAACCATGGGGGAGCACTTGCCAAACTCCCAGGAAGTCACCCTTGACCGAATGATTCAGGGGAGAAATTGACTGCTCAGGCCAAGGGGTCGGAAGTGGGACAGGATGTGCCAGGGCCAATTCCTATGGGTCAGGATGAGATTTTTCTGAAAGGGGATTCTAGTGTGCAGAATTCTTTGGCTGTGGGCAGCTGGAATTCAACCTAAACCAGTTTAAATAAAAGGAACATTTTTGGGCTCTTGTGATACAGAAGGACAGTGATGGAGTTGGTTCATAGTATAACTGACTCAGGTGTCTTCAGGTTCCTCTAATCCACCCTCTTTGTCCCCCTCTCTCTGCATGGTGTCCCCCCTTCCTATAAACAGACTCTTTCACTTCTGACAGAGATACCCTGGGCACCTTCAGATGTGCTTCAGTTACTCTAGACAAACTTAGAGAATCCCACAGAGAGAGAGATCTTTCTTTTGTGTTGATACATATAAATCCTCAGGAAGGACTATCACTGGCTCTTGCTGTTGTTCAGTCACTCAGCTGTGTCCAACTGCAGCCTCCAGGCTTCCCTGTCCTTCACCATCTCCCAGAGCTTGCTCATCACCATTGAGTTGGTGATGCCATCCAACCATCTCGTCTTCTGTCATCTCCTTCTCCTCCTGCCCTCAACCTTTCTCAGCATCAGGGTCTTTTCCAATGAGTCAGCTCTTCATATCAGGTGGCCAAAGTACTGGAGCTTCAGCTTCAGCATCAGTCTTTCCAATGAA